GGGGCTGAGTACCCCTATGGCCAGAAGGAGAGATGGGGAGGCAGGAAACCCTACAAAACCTTCCAGCCCCAGTTAGCAGAGAGGGCCAGGAGTAAGAAAAAGCCAAGGAAGCCTGATGGCCAGCAGAGGCAGACTCTGCAGTTCGATGAGTGGACGCTGCAGAAGGCGAGGAGGAAGCAGTGGAACGAGCCCAGGTCCTGCGCCCGGCGCTACCTCAGGGTGGACTTTGCAGACATCGGCTGGAGCGAGTGGATCATTTCCCCCAAGTCCTTCGATGCCTATTACTGCTCGGGGGAATGCCAGTTTCCCATCCCAAAGGTACGAGCTTTAGGGAGTCCTTTGCACTGGAAACTGGGCGTTTCCTTTCCTGAGGCAGTACAGGCAGCCAGTCCCATTGTGTGTTTGGCTCTAGGACCTGAGTGGTGTCTCTGTCTCCTGCTGCACGGGGCAGTGCTTAGGACACCCAGCAAACAGACAGGCTTGCAAAGGGAATTAAAAAAATACGACCTGGTGTTAGTTTTTTGTCCAGAACCCAAATTACCATAAAACATTTCCTGAATAGTGCTTACGATGTGTGAACTTGTTATTAACGGTTTAATAAACATAAAGCAAGCCAGATCCAGAAAATTGCTGATTAGCCAGCAGTTGTGCCCCAAAGGAGCCTGTGCTGCCAGGCCCACGTGCCAGGCCCACGCCACAGTTGGTGGGCACGGCACCCTGCAGGAAGAGCAGGTGCCTCGTGAGGCAGGGCTGGCACAGGGGCAGGGAGCCCTGGGTTGCAGAAGAGTCAGGCGAGTTACTCCTGTGACAGAGCGAGGGGACCCGAGAGCAAGGGATCCTGGCCCGCTGGCTTTCAGAGTGCCCTCTGGTTTGCATGAGTTGGCATGTGAGTACCAGGAAGGGCTGATGTGCTCCCGGCCCTGTGACCCAGGTGGATGAACTAGGCTCCAAATGTACCGTGCCCTTCTCAGCAGCAGGGACCCCCCTGAGGCTCTCCAAAGGTGAGAGTGGGCTGTGGGTTTGGAGGCTGGCCTAAAATGAGGGGGGGTGAGGAACTCCTGCAGGACACTGCAGTAAAGGCAGCGCTTGGACTCACTGCAGCATCCCATTCCAGAGCCTTTATTCCTGCCCCAGGGAAGCCTGAGCAGTTAGTTCCAAAATATAGATGGCATTTCAGGGCCTTGAGGAACCCAGGGAGGAGGAACCATGCCGAAGGGGATGGACCCCAAAAACTGGAACTGTATGATAATCTAAGACACATTTTTAAATCCCTGGCTACCACTGAATTCAAGGACAAACCAACAGAAATACCTTCCTTGAGATCAGCTGCCAAATGGAGGCTTCCTACTAAATGTACTAACATGTTATGCAAACGACATGAGGAGCTGGAATCTCGCAGGTATTCCTGTGCTTTTTGCTTGCAAGGTCACTGAGACTTGCTTCTCAGGTTGGTGCAGATCTACCCCTAAGGCTGATTGTCTTCCCAGAAAGAAGTCATCTTGTGTCACAGCAGAACTGCAGGTTGCACATTTGGCCCCAATGACCTTGTTCCATCCGTTTCACAGTGGTGTGTGATGGAGCAGCACAGGGAACTGGTTTGAATTCCAGGTTTATGTGTAAGAACAGCTCTAAAAAAACAAACCAAGAGCCTTTGGCTGAAAGCTGCATTTTCTGCATTTTTCATGCCCACCTATTTTTGTACAGGTACTTGGATCTGGAAGGATTTGGTGGGTCAGAGGTAGAACTTTGTATTTTGCATTTCTATGTGTTTGTCTTTATTTTTATGAGCATCTTAGTATATTCTGGTGTTGTGAACGTGCCACAGGGACAATGTCATGTAGGGCTGTTAGGATCCAGTTATTAAAAGCTGCCTCTGCCTGAATTAAGGGTGCCAATGAGACCATATGCCAAGGTCATTAGTACAGATTTTATTTAACAGTAAATATGAGGTAGGGAGAGAGAGAATGAGACAGATGAAGTAAAAAGATGAAGGTATCACCACCACATGGATTCTGACGGCGTCCTGCCGGTCCTTCCGCCGGTCTCCTCGGTGCTGAGGGTGCCCCAGTCGTGTTTCCAGGGCACCACTTCTGTACAGTCCCAGCCCTGGATATCCACGGGCTGTCTCAGATGTTCCCACAGCTTGGCACGGCCAGTTGTTTCCTTCCCCACAGCTTGCACAGTGGAGTTCTGTCCCGTGTGCTGATTTCAAACCTTCCCCTTGATTTAGACCTGGGATTAACACTTTCCTTTCTCCCAGATTTCCACGGTGGGAATCTTTGTTGGGGTCCATTACCTGGGTCTGCCTTACCAGGCCTGGTTCCTGTTGTTGCCATCTGCTCTCATCACAGGTTCCTGTGGTGGCTCACCTTGTGGGAATTGCCTTCTTTGGCAGTGTTTGGAGGTAATGATTTGCTTTCTTTGAGTCCTGACTGTGGGTGCAGTAACCTGCTGTGCCCTGTGTGTCTCCCGCAGGCCCTGAAGCCGTCCAACCACGCCACCATCCAGAGCATCGTGCGAGCCGTCGGAGTCGTGCCCGGCGTCCCCGAGCCCTGCTGCGTCCCTGACAGAATGTCCTCTCTCAGCATCCTGTTCTTGGATGAGAACAGGAACGTGGTGCTCAAGGTGTACCCCAACATGACGGTGGAGTCGTGTGCGTGCAGATAACCCCGGGAGGGCAACGCTCGGGTTTGGGGCAGGGGCTGGGCAGGGCTCTCCTCACACCCACGCTTGGGTGGCACTGCCCGTGCGTTGCCTCGGGACAGAAAAGAAACTGTGACCCAATCCAAACCATGAGGATGGCAATGGAATGGATTCCAAGGGGAGAGAGGACCAGCTTCATTGCTCTGGGAACGTGACCAACACGTGAGTCTTGGCGATGGGACCTGAGTGTTCCTGTGGAAATGGAGAGATGAAGGAGGAGGGATTTGCAGGTTTTCCAGACTGCCAGAAGGACACAGTGATCTATTTTTATACGAGATTTTGGAAGCAGCACGAACTGTTAATTGTTCTCTCTGTCCTTACGGGAACTGATGGAGGGAGGGTTAAGGTGTAACATTCTTCATTGTAAAGCTGAGCTTCTTGCCTTGGGTTCTTGGGTAGTGCAGCGAGGAGGGCAAATCAGTCTGACACCCTAAAAGGTACTGCAGCTTAGCCGTGCATCTCCTGGGTGTGACATGCCAGCTCACCCCGGCTGTCTGTTCATTTTCATTGTCTTATTCTTTGGAATTCAGCTTTTTGGAGCTCAGTGAGAACCTCCCTCGTGAGAACCCAAGCCAGGACTGCTGAGTTCATAGCTGGGATTTCTCAAAAGCACAGACTTTCTGTCCTGGACAAGTTTTCCTGCTGTAGCAACTCAGCTGGCCAGGGATATCACACTCGGAGAAGCATCTGGGCGACTTGTTCCTAACAAGTATTCTAGAACATAGTTCAAATAATCTCTGAGTTTTCTACCTGAAAGGAGGTTGTTTCCAGGTGGGGATCAGCCTCTTCTCCCAGGTAACAAGCACCAGGAGAAGTCATAGCCTCAAGCTGTACCAGAGCAGGTTCAGGCTGTACAGCAGGAAGAATTTCTCCATGGAAGGGCTGCTCAGGCACTGGCTTGATTAGTGCCCTGTTATTGCTTGTGAGAACAGCATTTTCAAATGATTTCTGGTGAAAGGTTTATCTTTGTTCAGGCTGTCAATTAAAAAAAAAAATTGAAACTCACCCTCCAGCAGAAGTTATTTTGTATATGGAAAGTTTTACAAATGCTCTTTATTTATTTTATTTGTCT